AGTTGGAGGAAGAGATCGACCGGCGAATTGGTGTAGCCAGTGGCGTTCTGCGTGAAGTAGCCCGACCCGTGTGACGAAAGCAGAACTCAGTCTGAAAACTAAGCTCTCGGTGTTCAAGTCGATCTTTATCCCCATTTTTACCTACGGTCATGAATCGTGGACCATCACTGGAAAACTACGAACCCGGCTACAAGCTGCTGAAATGGGCTTTCTTAGACGAGCCGCTGGCCTTACGCGTCTCGACATGGTCCGGAACACTGACATCCAGAAGAGCCTTGGATTACAACCTTTGCTTCTCCGGATTGAGAAGTCACAGCTGCAATGGCTTGGGCATGTTTTGCGAATGGCTTCAGAAAGGAAGGGGAATAACTGTTTGTTGCCCAGCCTACCGGCAAAGGCCCAGGAAACGGCCAAGATTAACTTGGGTCAAATCAATGGAAGGAGTCTGCTCGAGACTCCAGTTGTCTTCTGCCGATGTTCAGATTGAGGCAAAGGGTAGGGACCGTTGGAGGCAGTGTCTAACGCGTCTGTCTTCGAGGCTCGAAAGGATAAGCGGTCATAAACGTTGAAGATTATTCATCATGCAGTCTACTCTCTGAGCAGAGAAGGACTGTCTATAAGAATGCTCGGGAATAAGTAATAATTGGTGATTACTTATCTTGTTTATTAATATGTAAATCTTTCTATGCTTGATTTTCATTAACAAGGTCTGAGAGAACTTTGAATCTGGCGACGAGTGACAAAACTAGCCAGCGTTGGATATGTCAATTGCGCGTCAGGGTTTTACTGAGAAAGGAAAAATTCGATCATGGGGTCTCAGTGACAAATGCCATTAATCTCAGTAGGACTGTTCAGGGTTTATCCAAAGATTCTTTCCCCGTATAATTCCTAGATGCATAAGTGTTTAATGCATTATTGTTATGTTTGGTTATTATGTTCTTGCTATGCAACCGTCTCTTAGATGATAGACCTTCAGAAATACATCAGTGCTAAGGTGGCCCTTTGTGACTTTGTTTGCTGATTGTTATCCTTCCTCAGTGATATCAACTAAAGATTGGATCTGCAGAATGTTTATTTTCTCCCAGCATATCGTTTATTTCGATATTCTCATAAGCACAGATAAATATGCTTCATCATGTCCAGAAGTTGTTCTTTCATGTTGATACACGTTATGGCATATTGTCGCAAAACTTAACAGGGGTACCGCGAACAACGTTGCTTCTTTGCTTCTAGCAGCCACGAATAGGCGTTTATTTTTGCATATTTAAAATGGAGAGGAGAAAAAAATTTCACAATGGAGAATTTTGCCAGCTGTTTGTCAAACAATGGCAAGAAAAGTGGCAAGTGCAATTATCTGTTTTATATAAGCTCGAAGTTGAAGCATTGAGACAGTTTTCGGGACGAAACTTGCATCAGTTTTCCACACGGTTCAAACAGATCCCAGTAATGAAGGCCGGCAGACATGGAAGCTGGGTGGAAGCTCTATAAATGCATTCAAAAAATGGCTCTGAACCAAAGAACTTTCAACTCGTATGCAGAATGAAGAAACGCTTAAGCGGGCAGCTAAAGCAGCGGCTAAATCTAAAGCTGATCTGTGGGCAAAGTTCAGTAAGATTTTGGGGTCGAATTGGCAGACGGCAAACAAGGTGCTCTGGCAGATCATCCTCTGCGTCTCAGATGAAAAGAAAGACAGTTTAAGAGTGCTGAAAGATTATTCAGGATGCCTTGTTGTCAAGGAAGAGGATACAATCCAGCGTTGGAGAGAACTTATTATGACAGAACTCCTAATAACACAGGGAGACTCATCTGAAAAGCATCCGGAGACGGAATTTTTTTAATCAGTGCTTCCGTAGATGAAGCTGTCATCGATTTATTAAAATCTTGATTTTAATAAATCAGGATGACAAGATTCAGTCGCATTCACGTCTAATATTCACTTTTAGTGTTCCTCGTTGCGTGTAATTACACTTCATCCGGTAATTAGCGGAAGGTAGTTTTAATCAACCGGAAATCAGCAGTCAATATTTGTTCGACTATGATTGAACACTGCCACCATCAGAATTATGACAGTAATGAAGTGTATTCATTGAATATTTTGCTTATTGTCTGTCCTCCGAACATCTTTCTGTCGTTGGTTGTCTGTGACGCACGAACTGAGGCAAAAACCACCGCTGTTTCGAATGGGTTGCAACGATGAACGGGCGGGTCGGCTCATCCGAGTGGTATCGATTTAAAGTGCCGTCGGAACCGCACCGCCGTTGTTGTTTTATTAACATATTATCGACTTTGTAAAGCATGTCAACACGACGTCTGATCGGCTGAGTCCTCCGACGAACAGCGCAGAATGCGGCCTCGATTCGCGCAACGCAAATACAAGCAATCCCACCGTACCCTTAAGAGGACCCTGCAGCTTTTGTGTCTGCAACGCGATGGTTGCCGACTCCGGTGGGCATCGAGCCGAGCCCAGCCGAGCCGAGCCGACCGACTTGCCTGTGGCAAATTTCAAAGCTACCGCCGTATTTCTGCGATCCGCAGAAGGTCCCTTGTTCGAGCATGGATGACACGAGCAACTCGTCGGGCATTGATTTTGTGTCATCATCAGACGAGGGCACCATTGAAGCAAAATTTCTCAAACCGTGTCTGAATCGTTTAGTTACAGCGTGACTTTAAGAGCGTTGTTATCGCTTGTGAACCGGCCACTGGCAGATGCGTGTACAAGCCGGTTGTTGGTCACCTGGTCCGTTATTAAGTATAAACATAAATGTAATGCCGAAGGATTTCGGAATTGCCAGATGTTACGCCGACGTCAATAAATATGCGAGCGATGCAGTGATGACGATGACAGATTTCACCATCCGTTTACAGTAATGAGGATGTGATTGAAGTGTATGCATGAAAGTGGAAATTGATGAGCCCAGGAAAAATATCTTTCATGACTTTGTTGAAAATTCCTACTTTCCTACTTCGTAATGCATGTTTGGGAAAGATGTCATAACGTTAACATCGGTGACAGCCATCGTGGTGAAACGAAGCTAATCAAAGTGGAATCCTTACGTATCTCCGCTAAAATGTAAGGTCTGGAATAGATGTGAGCATTCATATGGCATTTCTATAGCATGAGGATTAGTCTGTTGTTTGCTGCCTCGAAGTTAATGATCCATTTGTTCAAATTGGGTTTGTGCCATCATAAAATTATAATTGTACCATCATGACCAGGCCATTCCTCACCATTCCTCACGGTCACCGTAAACAGTGGAGGGCCTATTGTGGGAGGAGCGATTCTTCACCGGTTACCGGCCGATCCAAGTGATCAGGTGACTGGCGTAGTTGGTTAGTAGGCTGCCTTGTAGGTTAAGTTCAGTTTCACGTATTATGCGCGGCGTGAATTTTTCTCATTGGCTGTTAATTACCTTGAGCAAGGAATTCACCCAACTGTGCTTCGCTGTAACCAGCCGAAAATCGGTGGCTTGTCATTGACCTGCAAATAGTAGAGACAGCGCAGTTCTTCGATGTGACTATGCGAAAGTGTAGGGGACCAACGGCCATACTGAGTGATACGCGTGCCTTAAGGCTGTAGCCCGCCATGACCCAGTGGATAGCTGACCGAAAATCAGCACAACGTGTAAACATATAGTAAAAGGTTGAGTGACTGTTGATGTGCGGTCTATTGGAATGTTACTCCGCTGACTGAAAGATGTACTTGCTTTTTTTGTTGTCGCCAACCGTACACAATCGTAAAGCATGGTCATCTTGGCTACGTTTGGCAAATCCAGAGATTTAGAGTGTTGCAAAATTGCAATCGACAGAAGAGGCACCTCATTAGAGCGATATCCTCTGAAAATTATGATTTTCAAGCAAAAATACGAACTGCACTCTTCTCAGAGTGCTTAACAACAGGAGTATGCATGGCTTAGTTTTCTTGGTGGTGAGCTGTTCTGATAAAATCTGCAAACGATGCAAGACCTGAATCGATTTAACTTCCAGCAATACCAGATTCTTGTCATATTGCTGACTTGCTGAACCATACGATCTTACGGTTAGCCATCGTTTATATACGTCCACATAATCCACAATAGCAGCAGAAACCCTTTCGCAATATTTTCATGCATGGTGACCCATGGAAAAGAAGCTACTCTGGCCTGAACATTCACATTCCGCATTCTTTGAACAAATGACAGAACGACATGACGAGTTGCGACGAGCGTGGTATCGAATACAAACGATTTTGTCTATCGAGGGAGTGTTTCGTTCATGTGTTGATGATCATGCTGCAAACTGAAAACTGTGTAAAATGACCTATTTATACAAACGCTACAAAACCTGTGGGCCACAGAACGAACTGTAGATTCGACCCGGTCTACAGTGAAAAAGGTTTGTGAGAGAAGAGACGAAACGTCGGTACTGGTCGATCAGCCGATTGACCAATTTTCTTGCGTTGTATGTAAATAAACCGTTTTAAAACTTTTTCGGCTTTCCCGAACGACTAATTAGTATTTGTCTTAAACCACTTGAGTAGTCACGTGTGACTGGTCACAAGAAACCTGAACACTTGTTGACATAATCCACATCTAGCGTTTTGACTCAGATTCTTGCATAACTGAAGCTGTAGTTATGACTAATATGTTCATGTTTCTGTGTATCTGATGTAGACAATGAATATTCTGCGTCCATAGAGTTTTAATGCCCAGCTGCTTGTATTAATGACGCTGAAGAACAACCCAAACTGTCCAGCTGTTTCGAAAACGAGTAAAGAACAGCTTATCAGATTCAACCCACTGTTGTTTTATGGTCGTCGTATAAAACTAACAATACTTGAACTGCAAAACAACAAAAATTGCTTATGACTGACCGTCAAGAATGATGACCCAAACAATTCTTCAAGCCATCATAACTTTCAGAATGTCGTTCGTACAATAATTTAAGATCGGATTTCCAATTCCATTTTTATTAACAATTGTGAGGCATCTTTTTCTTCTTTCTTCTTTTCCCTAGCATGTTCCGTTTAACAGGGGTCTGCCAATTGAGTCAAACTCCTCCACATTTTCCGCCCTTCGTTATATCTTCAGAGACTCCTCGCAGTTTCATACCGTTGTTACGAAATCGCGCCACCTTTTCCTCGGTCTTCTCCTTCCGGTCAGACATCGTTGCTGTTTAACAGTGCTTGCACAGATTCTAAGGCTCCAATATGAAGTAGTTGAGTACATCCGTACTTTTCGCTTTCTGGAGTATGTCGCAAATTTAAGAAGTTCATGCTAACAGTGTTTGTTGGATCATCTGCATGTCAGCGATTCTTGCATGTAAGAAGCACTTGGACGTTCCACTGTCATACTGTATTGTCCGGTTGATCAAAGCTCAATATTAGACTGTTATCCTGATGAGGGATCTTTGCTCGTCCTCAGCATCAGATTTAATGGCGCAATGTACCGCTCCTTGCTCTTGTTGCCCAGGGGCTATTCAGGCGACCGCAGCTTCATGTTATTTGAGCCCCGCGATACCGATCTCGCTTAGTTTCATTGACCATTGCACATGAGCCACGCCGCGCTCATTATAAACCAAAAGAATTAAATATTAATATGACTAATAAGATAATAAGATGAATAAAAACGGTTCATTCGTCGGATCTTTGCTTGGAAATCATTTTTTTGCATGTGAAAGTCATATAATAGTTTTTCTCGCGTGCAGTAATTCGTAGCAACTAAAAAGATTATTTTCAGCATATTTTATCTTTGCTAAGGGTTAAAATTAGTGAGAATAATGATTAAACTTTACCCTCCTCTTTATTTGAGCCACGAGGGTAAAGTTTAATCATTATGGAATAAAATTTACCTTCATACCTGCTTTTGCAGTAAATCAAGACCAATATAGGGTCTCACTGCCGCCTTTTATGACGCTTTGCCGAACAACGAAAAAACAGAATGTTATGGACTGGAAGACGAGGTACAAAAGTCGTCTTTTAATCACACAGTTGTTTTATCAGCTGAAAGAAAGAGTAGTTGACTATCCTGAAAACAGGTACCAAAACAGTCTGTGAACTATTAGCACAAATCCCTTTGGTTGACCACGGCTGTTGCCTAAATGAAGTACCCATTGTTCTTGCATATTCATTTGGCATACCGCTTCCGGTCACAGCAGTCTTTATAAGTAAAGCATCTCAGATCTTAAGCCGTTTCGCCATTACGTTGGTTGCCTGCAGATCATAGAAGCCTGTAAATATCGTTTCAAGCTGAATGCTAGTTTTAACGCAGCCTTTCTAAACGATTCGGCGCCAGTGACACTCGAGTTTTGGAATGTGACCGAAGCTATTAGACGCAATCAATGAATTTCATTACGAATCTTAATTAATCAGATTAACATTATTAGAGATATTCTCCTTTGTTTTATAACTACAGAACAAAATCGCTGGAAGATAGAAATTATCACATGATTACTTTGTGAAAGGAATTTCAACAATTACATTGCGTAACTTGCTAAGATGAGAAGATAAGAATATATTTTAATTTTGAGTTTACAGATTCAAAATAGTTCACAATGTTTACCGTAAGTTCCCCTTCATAACTCAGAAAATATATGGGTCTGAGGCTCAATGCACAAAAACTGTCAGATGGACTGCTTCCCAAGAGGTACAAATGCAAGCCAGCAAAGCTATGTTGTCCTCAGAGGTGACATCGAATTAAGGTCAATTGCCAGGACCGCTTCAAACAAAATCAAATAGATTTCCATGTGGATGAAAAGAAAGATTCATCAGAACATTGGTACATTGCCTTGTTTCTGATGCAAATCCTATGAAAATCTGATGAATGCCATCTTCCATACAAAGTAATATCGAAGTTGATATACGAGTTTTTAGAAGCACAGTATGTCGGATTTCCTGAACTGACCGTCCAAGTGGCTCAAAGAGAGTCGTTTTACATTCATTCCCAAAATGTCGTCGATTAGTCAATTAATCCTTCCAAATTTTGCCTCATCTTTTCAAACCGGATCTCACCGTACCATTTTTAAGGATTAATGCTGCAGTGGCAGCAATGCTTCTACCCAGCTTCATAGTTACAGTGTCATTCGCCAAGAATATTTCATGAGAAGTCTGTAGACCCGGTTATCATTGCCTCCATGTCTGATCGACCTCTGCGGTTGTCCACTCTTTGCAACGGCATGAAGAGGTTCAATTTCTGAGATATTAATGACCCTAGTCGAATGAAATAACATCAACCACGTTGGTCTCCGGAAACGATGGGCCAAACGTTTGCAAGCCTGCCGAGCATCTGAACATCACCAAGTCTTTGAATATGTTAAAGATGTATTTAAAGTTATGAATGCGAATGTATGTTACTGAACCTCCAGAGATTCTTCTGGTGCATATGGACGGAAAGGAAATTTCCCAACGACCTGAAGAAGGGAATCATAATCCTGATCCACAAACGTCAATAAACATCTGCTGCTCGAATTATTGTGAAAATACATGCTGTCGACGTCGGAAAGGTATTCTCGATGAATATCCTGGAACTGCTACGGCAGAGGGCAGAAAGGAACCTCCGAGTAAACCAGGCAGAACTTCGAAAGAATCATTCGTGTACTGACTATATGTTTAATAATAAGTCT